AATATAAACACCCTTTTTTTCTAAAACTCTCTGAAATACTTCTCTTGGAACTTTATCACAAGCTTTTTCTAAATCAACAAAAATCATATGTAGATCCTCTTTATTTTCTCTATACTTTTACATCAAACTTCTTAATAAATATAACGACTCTTTTATAAATCGAGCTAAAAAAATGTGTTTATGTTCGGATCATTTGCTTAACGATCGAATCAAATATGAGCTACTCAGCGAGTTGAAACCGAGCTGTTCGCGAACGGAATGTTTTTCTTACAGCCCTAATTGGAAGTGCTCATAATATCACCAAAGACACACACACACACACACATAGAACATAATCACATCATGTAAAATAAAATAAAATAAAGAGAGACACTAGCTATACCCTAGCTTATGATGGTGCCAATTTAATCAAATGTGTGATGTTCAAATTTTATGTTTGATTAAATAATGTTGATGTTTATTAATTAAAGAATGATTTATATTTTAGTCATTAAATGATTTGTCAATTTATTATATCCTTTATAATTTAAATGTTTCATCATTAATTGTTAAAAACATCCCAAATGTGATGAAATCAACTCTCTCTGTGTGGGATATGTCATTATTGAGGTACTAGATCTATGATTAGGATGACTTGTATCGAAGTACTGAATCATAGATCGAAGATTAGAGCAGTGTTAAAGGTACCAAAGGAGGGGAAGATGATCCACTTTTGATGTTTAAGATACGGGGAAGCGGGTTAGAAGGTCCAGTGCTGGAGAATGGACTTGATCCCATTTTAAATTTTTTAGATTTACTATGTTTAAATTCTCATCAGTTTTATAAGTCTCTGAGAAAGAACTTGGTCCATCTTGTGGTGGGTTAAGCTATTCTCAGTACCAAAAAGATTAACCTAAGTACCAAAAAAACAAACTGAGATTAGAATCAACTGGAACATCTCTAAACCAGTTACTCAACTAAGCCGAGATTAGAATCAAAGAATAACAAAATTCACTAAATAAATTTAATGTCACTTATAAGGTCTATAATTGGGCTATTAGTTTCAATTAAGTTTTTTAAAGGTGTTTGTAAGTTAAGTGGGAGGGTCAGTAAAAGACTCATAATCATTTATGGCTTTCTGGCTGCTCGTCTTAAGGCAAAGGTGTTCATAGAATCTTCTTTAATCCACTGACATTTGCTAAAGTCATGGTGTAAGAATTCTATTAAATAGTTTAGATTCACCAGAATTAACCTGTAGGAAGGTCTCTAGTCCATTTATGATCATCTAAAAGGAAAACTATAGCTATCTAGAAAAGTTATTGGAATTGTCATGTGAGATTATACAAGGAAAACTATCAACTAGGCATAGGGTCATCTATGATTTAGACGATTGGGAAAATATGACAAATTTCTTAGGACATCTTATGGAGGCTTGGAGTCTGAGATATCTACTGACTAAACTAAGGTTTTGTAAAATTTAAAATTTTATGTAGATGTAGGATTGCCATATTTTAATATTTAAATTTGTTCAAGAATTGTCTAAAAACTCTTAAATGTCTAGGGGTCATATCCTTACAAGTGGGTATCATTATATGACACAATATAGGTGACCTACTAGCAAGTGGTTATGAGACCCAAACAATCTATGGCTCATATCAAAGGTGTTGATTTAGACCACAAAGGATCCAACTTATTTATGTGAAGATGGGGATCACCAATCTATGGTCGAAAGATCTCCTTCTTAGTTCTAAAAGAGAGGATCACTTACACTAATGGGGGATAATGGAGTGCTTGAAGTTTTGCCTACCAAATCTCTACATGGGTGAAAATTAAGAAGAAAATGCTTGTGTACCCAATCTCAACAAATAGCAAGAATTTTATAAAAATAAGAAATTTACCTCAATTGAGGCTATGATTGACTGGACTGAGAGTAATGGATTTAGGCACATGCACTCACATGAATGAACCAAGGGTCAACCTCGCTCAAGGTTGGGGGGCTACAACACTTTGACTGAGATATGAACATGTCTCTAGCAATCGATAGAAAAAGAAAACAATTATGAGCAGAGTGATACTAATAACTATCAACGCACAAGATGATGTAAGTGGGCCACATAATCTTTTCTTGAAACCATACAATGCTCAAAACAATATAATAAAGGGTTTATTGGGGGCATCTGCAACTTATTCAGCTTATGTTGATAAACAACTTATCCTGACAAGCTGTGTATCTGCAGTTGATCCTGATAAGCTGGCTGGCTGTTTGGTTTGTGCGTTTGGAAAACAGTTGATTCTGCATAAATTATCGTTCTGCCTCTGTTCTAAACCAAATAAATGCATTAAAGATTGACAAAATATCCTAAATTTAATTAGTAAATACCTCACCTCTATGATCATTTTTTTTTAATCATCTAAGCAGTCATTGCCCATCAACCCAACCCTAGACTAACTATAGAGTCATTTTTACAAGAATTATTTCTAATAAAAACAATTTAATAAATTTCATGTCATAAACTATGTTCAAGTAACCTCTCCCGTAATTTTAAAGTATGACACATCAACTTAATTTCTGTATAATGTTTCCTTCATCAGATTCATCATGTATAGGGAGAAAAGAAATCCTAGGCTTTTTAGAGAAAGATAGCAACAAATTTTGATCAAACTTTAACAACAAAAAAATCCTAAATGAAATTCAATCTTTTGGTTTCAATCATACTAATTTCCTCCAACCAAATTGAACCCATTGATTAATTGTTTAGTAGTCTTTCTATTAGCAATAGGTTTAGAATATCTCAACTCCTTGCCCAGTTTCAACAACTCACAGACGACCTAAGGAAATCTTTCAATTTTATAAAATTAGGGGTAGAAACAGAGATTTGATAGTGATTTTTGATACAAAATAGAGAACAAAACACCACCTATACGAGCGTACAATGAGAGGAAATAAACTTGCTCACGAGCACGTCCACAAATATATTAAGGATCTAAAACTGGATAGAGTTTTCCACTTTCGGGGTTAATTCTCGTTGTGCCACATTTTAGATCAAGCATTTTGGGCATCAACCCATGCTATGAAATTATCCAATGAAGATAATCATCATAGAAGTCAAGAGCTACAAACATGACGAAAAAATTTGATCTTCAACTACTTATAACAGTAGCCTCTTAAAATTAATTATTTAATCAAAATTTCAATATAAATTCGTTTAATGGCCGCCATAACAAATTATTTATTTGAGGCTCAATTCCCTTTCAGTCATATATAAGACCACCCTCATTAATCATCATCAACATTAGCCTTATCCCAACCATTTAGGTTATGTTCACGAATCCTCAAATTTCATTTAATTCTTGTTGAAAACTGTGTAATCTTCAGTCAAAAACAAGCATTTCATAGCAAGATATGACTTACCTGCATCACATAATCATGAAGAATTTTTTTTAAGGCCATAACAGAGACTAATCGCTGGACATCAAAAAGAACTGCAAAGAAAATAGGGATTTCAATAAAACAATAAATAATCAAAAAAGAATAAGAGAAGTTTGAATAGATCTTTAAATATATTTCAGAAGAAGAGCACCTCTTGACCGCTTGGAGGGGAATAAGCTGGGCTGAACTGCGCCGCTGGATCCTGACGAGCTTGCTTCATCCATGTCCATCAAAGATTAGATCCGAAGAAAACCTAATAGATCCATCAAAGACCCAAATCACTCATCTCAAGTTTTTCGGAGGTTAGGATGAACGATCCACAAAGTTTACCTTCTTCGTTGAAATCTTCTTTTTTCCCACGCCGCTTGTCACGTCAATGTCTTCTTCACTTTGCTGCGGTCGATACTTCCTCGCTCCTACCCGAAACGAAGGAGAGGGAAGCACTACCGCGACCTCCACAGTTTGATTGAAGGAGAGGCGGAGAGCAGAGGGCACAGGAGAAAATTTCACCCGAACGCAAAATGAAGACGCAGGACTCTCGGTCAATCCCGCGTCCCCTTTTATTAAGGATCCAAAAACGCCATTTTGAGATGAGCTATCCAAATGCTGAAATCAAACGGCACGGTGGCATTTTGAAAATGCCGCCCGCACTAATAAGCTGCCCCAAACAGACCCAAAGTTATCCTGCAAGACAGTTTATTCCATTAAATAACATGTGAAATACTAAATAAAATCATGAAACCAAGATCAGGTGTCATGTATATTGAGGCATCTAAAATGAAGATGTTTTAGACATTTAAATCAGCAAGTGAACCATTCTTAAAGATGAGTTGAGCAAGCTCAAAATCATGTCTTTTAAGTGCTTTCTTAATTTGTTATAATATGACTGCCCTTTTAAAAGGAGCATAGTTCAAATATATTGGATTAAATAATACCAATTCTCATGTTAAAAGAGACGTTTGAAGTAATTGAATATTCAACCAAGATTTTGTTTTTAGGGGCAGAACATGCTGTAAGCTTTTTTAAATAATCAAAACGGAAAAAAAAATCATGATTTTATTTTGATTTAAATTTTAACCCAATGCTATGCATAAGGGAAGTCTTAGCACCAATAAAATAACTCTATATCATCATTGAGACATTTCTTTGAGTGATTGACATGCAATATTTTGGGCGTTCTAAGTTATTTAATGGAAGCAATAAAAGAAGATTTAAATTATGATCATCTAAGATCATGATGGTTAACATGCACTTGATATATATAT